AATCTTTAAAAGTGCCGATAAGAATACTCCACATAACTAAAACCACAAATAATATTATTATCACTTTATTAATTTTAAAAGAACAATGAAATATCATTTATTTAAAAGTCAATTACCATTCATTGCATTAGTTAGCCATTAATTTTATTGACGATATTACAAACTCAATTCCAGCAAGCCGCCTATACGTCCCTCATTCTGTCCTCAAAATCAAATGAACACCACTGTCGCTCCACACTGGTTCACTCAATTGACCGACCTCAAGCTTAAAAGCAGCTTCCTCAAAGCTCGGCTGCATCTGCCCTTTTCCAAAGTGCCCGAGATCTCCTCCGCGCTTACCACTAGAACAATCAGATTCGATCTTAGCTAAATCGTCTAAGGTGGTCTCACCAGAAATAATTCGTTGTCGATAACCTTCAATTAGCTTCAGCGCTTCTTCCTTTGTGCGTGTGATATTAGGCTTAAAAAAAACAGAAAAAAGAAGCATGAGAAAAACGTGTATACTTGTGCGACACCTTATTCTCATAAATGTTAAATAACCCGTACTTCCTTCCAGGAACTGGGTCGTCTGCTTTCTTTATGCTTAACCAACAGGTGACTAGCACGTATTTGTTGCTGTTGCACATTACCGCCAGCTTGCTCGAGGTTTTGATGTTCAGCGTAGTTTTTAATCTTACTTGGATCAACTCCCTTGGGAAGATCCCAGGTACTTTCTTTGGTCACTCGATTGTAATAATATGCCATTTTACGTGACCTAGAGATGCGTTGTTCCCACTCCGAAGAGGTATCATCGTTCGCTGTTGAAGCAGAAGTATTTTCTTCTGTAGTAGCTTTAGAAGTTGTGGTTGTGTCTTTGGTTGTGGATGTGTTACTCTCAGTTTTATTTTCATCAGCACTCGCAGAGTTTTTTTCTTCAGTAGTAGTGGTAGTATCGGCAGTAGGATCGATTTCTGCTTCAGGATTAGTAGTAGCCTATGAAACCATAAAAAAATCCAAGAATCATACCACAGTAATTTAGGTCTTAATGCACTTCGGAACTTGATGTTTAGCAGGTATAAAACAAAAGGTA